CTCCAGCGGCGTCGGGGCTCGCCCCCGGCTGCGCCTCGGCCGCCGGGGGCCGCTCCCTCGCCCGGGCCGCCCCCCGCGTGCTGCCCTGGAGCGAGACAGGGAGCAAGGGAGACTCTCCCGCTTCGGGCGGAGCCCCACTCGAAAACCAGGGCTGGACCCTAAGCAGCGTTTTTCGTTTTCGTGTTGTTCTCGTCCTCCCTCGTTTTTTTTTTCCTCTTGAGGGAGGTCGCCCTGGCTGCAAAACGATGTCGAAGCGAGCACGGCCCACGCAGTCGCCGAGACACCGCTGAGGTCCTCCTTCATGTGGCCAAATACCAAGCATTCGATAACTAAATCTCAAAACGTGAATAGGCCCCTCCGAACGGCCTCGGAACGGCCCCCGAGCCTCGCAGAGCGTTTTGCCAAACCTTCCCAGCACACCTAGAACGATCGGGTGATCATCCCGGAGGAGGAGGAGGAGGAGGAAGAAGAGGAGAAGGAGGAGGAGGAAAGAAGAAGGAGGAGGAGGAGGAGAGAGGAGGAGGAGGAGGAGGAGGAGGAGGAGGAGGAGGAGGGAACGAGCAGCATGTTCTTTGTTTACCCCTGCCGAAAAGCACCACACCCTGGGCCTGGCGGCTGCGGCCTGCGGTCGCCAGTCGTCGCACGCACGGAGGCGGGATACCTGGGAGCACCGGGACGCTCTGGGCCCGGCGGCCGCGGCATGCAGGGCGTGCGAGGCGGCTCGGCAGCACGTTTCGGTGTTCTAAAATAAAGGGGGCCCAGGACACACAAATAAATACACACAAATAAGAAGATTCCCCATAGTTTCCTATATTTTCTGGGTTTCTGTCGTCCCCCCCAATTCCCATATTTTCCCATATTTTCTGGTGAATCGACGATTAATTGTGTCTGTGTGTTTTCTCCCCTCCTGATAAAAAAAGAAACGTGCCGGGTAAGGAATAAACATAACCCTTGCGAATCCCACGCGAATCTCTCGGAACCAGCGCTGGACCCCCTGGCGGCGCCTCCAGCGCCGCCCCTGGCGCGGCCGCGCACCAGTGAGTGGGGGGTCCAGCGCCGAGCCGACAAGTCCGCGGGGACCTCCGAAAATGTGTGTTGTGTATAGATGTACATATACATGGATATATTCATATTTATATATAGATGCGCTGATGTTTCTTCGTCTACTTCAACCACGTTGCATCGTCGGGGGGCTGTCCAGTACGTTGCGGTATGTCTGGTATAACCCTAGCTTATTCCCCGCGCCGAACGGTGCTTGACGTAAAATACAAGTGCACGGTTGCGCGGTATCGGCCGATCTCGCAGTCTTCTTCGGCTCTCGTCGAGCTTCCTGCGTCCCTCCTCCTGTCGTTACGATTTTAGCGACTTCTGGCTCCTCGCCCTGCGCTGGATCTTCAGAGACTTGACATCTCGATTTGTCTTGGCATCCCTGGGGTTGCCTCGATTTACCTGGGTCTGCATCCGATGGGATACGAGGAGTCAAGCCCTCAGTGATCCTGTTCCTCCACGCGGACTCTCTTCGCCCTCCTCGCGCTCATCGTGCGCCTTTGCTTGGGTCCAGATGAGGGCAACTGCCGCGGAAAACCCAGGCCGAGCAGATGCTCCCAAGGGCCGGTGCTCGACTGCGCAGCGACGGTGGGGAGTCCGTGGCAGCGCCCTGTGAAACTCTGCCACGCTGAACGCAGATTCCACAATCCTCATCGTCCTCCTGGATGTCGGGATCATGATGTGTTTCCCTGCTTCGGGGGGGGCCTGGAGCTCCCTCATTGCCACGGCTGGATTCCTCTCGGAAATCTGCCAAGACACACACCAGGAGAGGTCAGGGGGGGGGGAATTTCAGGTCATGACTTCCTGGCTTCGCGAAATTATCCTGGCGAAGGACCCAACCATACGCAAGTATGAGAACCGCAGGGCAAGTTGGACGAAGCAAGGGGAATTCCCAATGGGGGCCACGAGACGTGTGAGGGGTGCGCCACAATGGCGCGGGGCCGCCATGAGAACCCTGCCACTGGGGCCTTCAGTTGGGGCCGCGAACAGTGTGAGGGGTACGCCAAAATGGGGCGGGGCCGCCATGCGAACCCTGCCACTGGGGCCTTCGGTGGAGCTCCCTGTGGGGCCACGAAACGTGTGAGGGGTGCGCCGAAATGGGGCGGGCCACCATGCGAACTTTCCCACTGGGGCTTTCGGTGGAGCTTCCTGTGGGGCCACGAACCGTGTGAGGGGTGCGCCAAAATGGGGCGGGGCCGCCACGCGAACCCTGCCACTGGGGCCTTAGATGGAGCTCCGTCTGGGGCCACGAAGCGTGTGAGGGCTGCGCCAAAATCGGACGGGGCCGTCATGCGAACTTTCCCATTGGGGCCTCAGCTAGAGCTCCCTGTGGGGCCACGAAGCGTGTGAAGGGTGTGCCGAAATGAGGCGGGGCCGCCATGCGAACTGTCCCACTGGGGCTTTCGGTGGAGCTCCCTGTGGGGCCACGAACCGTGTGAGGGGTGCGCCAAAATGGGGCGGGGCCGCCACGCGAACCCTGCCACTGGGGCCTTAGGTGGAGCTCCCCATGGGGCCACGACACGTGTGAGGGGTGTGCCGAAATGAGGCGGGGCCGCCATGCGAACCCTGCCACTAGGGCCTTAGATAGAGCTCCCTATGGGGCCACGCAACGTGTGAGGGCTGTACCAAAATGAGGCGGGGCCGTCATGCGAACTTTCCCATTGGGGCCTTGGGTGGGGCTCCCGATGGGGCCACGAAACGTATGAGGGGTGTGCCGAACTGGGGCGGGGCCGCCAGGCGAACTTTCCCACTGGTGCTTTAGATGGAACTCCCTATGGGGCCTTCATGCAACTTGGGCATCAAACCTCCGTTGGGAGGTCTGCCGAGGGGGGACCGTCCGCGTGAGGGGCGCACCGAAATGGGCGGCGGGCGCGCCGTGCAGGCGCGGCAACTGAAGACGTGTTTCGAGCGCCACTAAGACCAGCAGTGGAGCTCCCTACGGGGCCACGGTTCTCGTGGTGTGTGTACTGTGTGGTGTGCGCGTGTGTAGTGTGTAGTGTGTAGTGTGCAGTGTGTAGTGTGTGGTGTGTCTGTGTGTAGTGTGCGGTGTGTAGTGTGCAGTGTGTAGTGTGTTTGTGTGTAGTGTGTAGTGTGTGGTGTGTAGTGTGTAGTGTGTAGTGTGTGTGTGTGTGTGTGGTGTGTAGTGTGTGGTGTGTACGTAGTGTGTAGTGTGTAGTGTGTGTCTGTGTGGTGTGTAGTTTGTGGTGTGTAGTGTGTGGTGTGTGGTGTGTAGTGTGTAGTGCAGAATGTAGTGTGCCGAAATCGAAGCGGTGCCGCCATGCGTCTGCGCCCCGAAATCCTCGCGAGGTGCTGTGCCATAACTGGGGGGCGGCGCCGCCACGAGCCACCCACCGAGGCTGCAGAGGGAGCTCTTCCTCCTCCTCCTCCTCCTCCTCCTCCTCCTCCTCCTCCTCCTCCTGCTTCTGGGGCCACGATCCTCTAAGGCGTGCCAACATCGACGCGAACTGCAGGTGAAACTCCCCAAGGGGCCACGAAACGTGTGAGGGATGTGCCGAAATCCGCATCCGGCAGAGAGGGGAGGGAGCAGGAGAGAGTGAAGTGAGAACAATACTTGAGGTTAGGAACGAACTGCAGAGGCATGAACCTTGGGTGTCCGCCCGTTCGATCGGCGCTCGACTCCCCCATCCCTGGCGATCGGAGCGAGTCGGGGGCGGCGCCGCAGGCGCCGCCAGGGGAGAGGATGAGCGCCGACCTAACAAATCTGCGACAGTGTATGTCTATGTTTTTTGTGTACGACGCGTCAGGATTTTAGAGATGCACAGGAAGGATGCAGTGGCCTTGGACGCCCAAGTTGACGCCTTTTTGAGCAAACATGGCCAATCATAGTGGCTAAGGGTGGACCGAAGATGCAAATATGAAACGCTAGAGAGGGTCGGAGAATACATCGCGTTGCCGATGCACCACGGATGAATAGGCGATTCATCGGCAACGTCGACGATGCGACGCGATCTTGCGGCCGTATCTACTCTGACCCCATTGGGACGGCCTGAAGTGTTCCAACCTGCACCATTGAGCGATCATCTCTCATCACAAGATTTGACGTTTCAGTACGAAGGGAACACGTCCTAGAACGGGTTGTGGTTTTGTTCGCCGTTTTCGGGACCAAGGGTGACGCTCCGCGGACCCCGGGACCGTCAACAAAAAAGACTCTGGATGAATAATTGGATCTGCGGAGAACTCTTGAGAAAAGGATCTATTTTCCTCAGGACACCCTCCCTCCGTGGCGAACCAAAACTACCCTACGAATGCCACGCCCAGCAAGACAATACATCCACGCCTTCGAGCACGCTCCTCAAGCGATGGACGATCCAAAGATGCAGAAACACAACAATACCTGGGAATAACGCTGCCTGCCGGACGGTGCGTTTGCGATGTGATGCAGCATCGCGGGCGGTGAGTTCCATCAAACCCTCCAACACAAAGTTGGCTAAGGCTGCCACTCCTGGTGCTGACCACGCTGCTTCTGCTGCTGCTGCTTCGGTTGCTCCTGCGCCCAGTGCTTCTGCTTGGAAGGCGGCTCCTGTCGCTCGTGCCTTGACTGATGCTGCGTCTTGCGCGACCTTGGATGACTCGCGAGGTGCACAACTAAGAGTCAATGCGATGCACGTAACCATGCCCAATCTGTTTGTAGCATCTCATTTGCTGGTCAGATCGGTAAACAAGATCAACAGGGAGGCTAGACTCGTTCTCCGCCGCGTGTGCATTACCCTTAGCCTCATCCTTCTTGCCGTCTCACTCAAATCTCTCCGCATCGTCATATCTCGTCCTCCTTGCACAAGATGTTTATGCAATGTCTATTTGAGCAGGCCCAACACGGTTCGAAAGCAATGAGAATATCCTGTTTGTTCAAATGGGCGTTTCCATGGAACTCGGTCGAACCGTGCGCCCAAACGTCCCCGAGACCTTGGGAAGGGGTCCGTAACGCCACGTACCTCAAAACTGCCGCAATAACCATCCGCACAAATGTCATACGCTTGTGCCGAACATATCCGAACGAACTTGGAAACATCACTGTCCGATTTCAACCCAACGCCGTTATTGAGGCTTGCGGGACGCCGAAGCGGTCCTGCAGACCTGCCCTGGGGGATGAGAACGATAATGATATTTCGGTGGCCACTCATGGGAGCCTCCCATACCATCTTGTTGGCTCTTGCGAATCGACGCTGCTCGACGCTAATCGACGCTGATCGACGTCAATCGCCGCTGAATCTGCGCTGGCCCATCGAATACGAAGCACCCATCGACACGAATGCGCTCTGAAGACGGAATTGCGATGGTTTACAAGGCTCCCATGAATTGCTACCGAAAGATATGCGTAAAAACTCGCCCGGCGGGCCCCCCGTCCGGGGCACGGACGAGAACCAGGTCGGACAAGGGGCAGCACGCGCCCTGCGAACCGTCGTGGTCCCCGCCCTGACCCGAAGCCACGCTCGAAATCCCACCAGTCCTCTGGGCGGAGGTGGTCCAGGGCGCTTCCTCTTCAACTCCCCTTCCTCCCCTCCGGGGAACCGTTTGCCACTGCTTCGTATCAATGTGCACCCCCTCCCCCACCCTACGGGCCCTTAACCCGGGCCAATGCCAACACCGCACCCTCCATTTGTCGATGCAAGAAATCCGCGCTGCGGCAACCTATTGCTCATGCTCAGGCGCCCCGCGGTCACTTTACACTGTTGTTGACAATGACGGCGGGGGGGGGTCATCACATTGGCGAGCGTGAGCAGGCCCACCTTATATCAAGAATATATGCTGAGTGCACGTTGCGGCAAAATCTTAAATCATCGTTACTTGGACACGAGAAGGAGGAAGGCACTGGCACGCGCGCACCTCGCGGGCGTCGTGCGCCTGCCTGGCGTTTGCACTGGTGCTCGATGGTTGTCGACGGCGGACCCCTGCTCATGCTGAGGCTCGGGTGCTACTTCTGCGGCGGGAGGGCGGATGGGAGTGAGCGAGACGGCCGTCACTCGGGGGTGTAGCTTGGCCCCTCCCCCTCCCCCCTTCCCCCTGGACCGGGGGGTCTCGGTGGTGGTGGCTGGAACCTACTAAGAGGGCCCAAGATGGCCCAGTGAGCCCAAGATGACATCCAAAATGGCACGAGATATCCAAAGATGGTTCCAAATGGCCTCCAAGATACTTCCGAGAGGCTCCAAGAGCACATCCAAGTGGCCACGGGGCCTCCCAAGGATGCTCCCGAGAAGCCAACAGCGACGACTGAGTGTTGCGTCCTCCCCTTGATCGCTTCCGATTGCCTCCGGCGCCACCGAGATGGCCCCAGAGAGCCCCAGCAACGCCCAAAGAGGGCTCCACGAGGCGACAGCTCGGTCCCAAGAAGGGCAGGGGATATTTGGAGGACCCCCCCCTCCTCGGATCCACGTCTCCCCCTGCCTTTTGACCGATGGCCCCGAGCATGGCCCCCCAGAGGGCCCCCACGGCTGGCCCCAGGAGAGCCCCAAGAGGGCCCCACGCAGTAGAGCCTCAAGAGCATTCGACCGAACCCACCAGGGCCCCCAAAAAGCTACCACGAAGCGCCCGTACCCGAAGATCGGAGAAGGCGTCGTTCCGCTGATTGCCCCTGCACTGCCCAGATCACGGAAACTCGCCTGGACATCGCTTCTGGATGGGCTGGTGCGGCTGCGCGAAGCGGTAAGGAAACAAGAACCTTCACCAATGTTCCATGCCAAGAACATATGCGCGTGTGTGCTTCCATCTGCCCCGCTCCAAACACATCCCATTCACCATCCGATGAAGAAGCCTGCCACCAGTACTCTAAGGCGCAATGAAATTACCATTGGTCCTTGGCACAGATGCAATGAAATTACTCGGTAATTTCGATTGGAGGTTGGGAGGTGAGATCGCAGTGGAACGGAGACCCCCAACCGGGAAATCGTTTCGTTTCGATCGTGTCGTGCCTGCGGGCGAGGCGAAGCTGCGTGGGCGCGCGAGAGGAATGAACCCGCCGTTGCTAGGGCGAAGTCAAGACAAATGATTCTCACCCGCCCTCCCGTCCGGCGGTGGCCCGCGGTGGCCCGCGGTGTCCCGTGGTGTCCCTTGGTGTCCCGTGGTATCCGCCGCTGCTGGGCGAAGTCAAGACAAATGATTCTCACCCGCCCGCCCGTCCAGCGGTGGCCCGCGGTGTCCCGCGGTGTCCCGTGGTGTCCCATGGTGTCCCAGCAAGTGAGATCGATAGTGAGATCGATAGTGAGATCGATGGTGAGATCGATAGTGAGATCGATGTGGTGCCCCGAGGTGTCCCGAGGTGTCCCAAAAAGTGAGATCGATAGTGAGATCGACAGGTGTCCCGAGGTGTCCCGTGGTGTCCCGTTGAGTGAGATCGATAATGAGATCGATAATGATATCGATAGTCAAATCGATGTGGTGTCCCGAGGTGTCCCGTGGTGTCCTATGGTGTCCCGTTGAGTGAGATCGATAATGAGATCCATAATGAGACCGATAGTGAGATCGAGAGGTGTCCCGCAAGGTCCCGTGGTGTCCAGTGGTGTCCTGTGGTGTCCCGTTGAGAGAGATCGATAGTGAGATCGATAGTGAGATCGCTGCGGTGCCCCGAGGTGTCCCGTGGTGTCCTAAAAAGTGAGATAGATAGCGAGATCGATTGAGTCAGATGTTGGTTCCCCCCTCTCCCCCCCACAACCTCCTTCTCACCCGAAGGGCGGTCGTATAGGTATGTTATGAACGTCGCCGACCCTTCCCTTGAGCTTCGCGTCCCGCCACGAACGTAGTAAAGCGTGCTGATCCTCGAGAGGCGCAATGACCAGAGAAAACAACATACGTCTGGCAACCCTTCTCATGTAATGTGGTATGCTCCGAACGTCGTCCTGAATAGATTTGGAAACACCCTCAGTGGGCACATGTGCAGCCTGCTCCACCCTCCAGCTCCCTTGTGGGCAACAATTCCACCTTAACAGGACGCGGGCCACGACGTTGCTTCGAGCCAAACTGGAGATGTGCCCGACGCTGAGAAAGTCGCATGGCCACCGCTGGTCGGGTCTGCGAGGCTGTTCAAAGCTTTTTAATTTGCGCCGTACAGTTCGACTTCAGTTTTGCACCACGCGGCAGTGCCCATCATCTGCCTCCGCTCGCTTACCTCTAAGGCGATTCCGTCCACGAAGAAAGCCCCGCCGAGCCGCGCGGTCTGCACTCACAAAGCTTCTGCCCGTGGCTGCGGCAAGGACTGCAACCGCTCTGCTCTGATGCAACGTGCGTCCGCTGACTGATCATCCAATGCGGCGACCCCTGCACCGTCAGATCCCGCAACTGACAAGGGTTAAAACTAATATGTGGTATCACTGTGCTGTTGGCGGGTGCCCCCTGCTCTGGCTCGTGACAGTAGTAGGCAAGGTGCTACACAGTGGAGAGTGGGACATCTTTCCTAGCAGACAGTGACATCGAGGGAGGCGCACAGCAATCGAAGTTCTGGTTGTGGCATTGGTTATCCCCATTCATTGTGTTCGATATCGATGTGTCCATCGGGTTTGGGAGCGCTGTAGCAGCTCGACTTCACATGGGCGTGCTCGTGTGGTATGGCGCGCCATGACTTCGCGGCAGGCGCCATGGGCGAGCTGAACGCACTCGAGTTGCGGAATATGCGTGAGCAGGGTTCGCCCCACTGAATGTCCTGATCAGGGGAAGCACGCTGCATCCGCAGCGGGGCAACTGGAGTTCGCGCCGCAGCCGCCAGCAAGTCCAACCTTGCCGACGAGGGGCCCCCCAAAGGCCAACTGCCGTTGCCTCAACTCGCCTTCCTCCGACCCTCCCGAGCTGTCAGCACGCGGCCCCGCGGCGAACCGACGGCCCGGCTGAGGCCGCCGCTCCGGCTGCTGGCGCTGCTGCGACTGCTTCTCGCCGGGCGGGTCGGGCCGCGGCCGCGGCTGCTGCTGCTGCTGCTGCTGCTGCTGCTGCTGCTGCTGCTGCTGGCGCGCACTGCGCCGCCTCTGGCGCTCCTGCGCGGGGAGGGGCGATCAGAGCCCAGGCCTCAGGACGATGCCTCCTTCTCCTGATGCTGACGCTGCTGGCATCTGCATCCTGCATGGATGCTGCCACCTCCTCCTCCTCCTCCCCCTCCTCCTCCTCCTCCTCCTCCTCCTCCTCCTCCTCCTCCTCCTCCTCCCCCTCCTCCCCCTCCTCCTCCTCCTCCTCCTCCTCCCTCCTCCTCCTCCTCCTCCTCCTCCTCCTCCCCATCCTCCCCCTCCTCCTCGTCCTCCTCCTCCTCCTCCTCGCCGAGGAGGTCTATGCGGGGGCCTCGAAGCCTCTGGAGAGCGGGCCTCTCTGGAGGCCCCCCCCAGAGGGGGCTTCACGGAGGGCTCCTGGAGGACCCTCCGAGCTGGTCGCCGACCTGCTCCTGCGAGGCCGCGCGAGGGCAGAAGGCAGGCGCGCCAGCGAGCCCCCCGAAGGGTCTGTTCATGTTCTGGTTCTGCCTCGAGGCCCCCCTCGCGCCATGCGCATGTGCGCGCCGCCAACCTCTGCCCCACGTGGGGGGGGGGGGGGCCCTACATGGGTTGCCCCACGCGGGGGGCCCCTCTCGGGCCCCAGGACCATCCAGAGCGGATGCAAGACGAACATCTGCGCTCGGGGAAGGAGGCGAGAGCCCTGCGGCGCCGCGGATGGAACAACACTCACAACGTCGGTTGCCTGCGGAGGAGGCCCGTCCAGGCCTCCGACATGACTTGAGAATGACGACGAGCCGAAAACTATTCGGGCCAGCCCCAAGCCCGTCCAGGAACGTCTCGTGAGAGGCGGCGTGAGCCCGGCGAGCCCACGCCGTGAGAACACCACGACGCTTGAAGTCTGGGAGGTCCAGTCCTCCCGGGACCGTCCTGGGCCCGGGAATGGGCGGACGCGACTTTCTGGCTGGGCGACGGGAGGGGGCACGAGTCCCCGATGTGTGGGCCTCAGATCGGCCAGGACCAGTGTGCGCAGGCAGGTGCGGCACGCTCCTGTCAGATGGCTGGAATAACAAACAGCTGCATAACACGCACACGCGCACATGATTACTTGGGGGTCGCGCTGAGTTCTTGGCTCGGCGCTGGGACCACCTCCCTGGGCCTCTCCCGGGGCGCGTTCCGACCAGGATTCCGGGGCGCATCTGGCCTGGCGACGGGGCCTCTCCAGGACGAGCAGCGGCATCGGCACCTCTTCCTCCTGGACTCTGGTGGTCTCTGTCGCCGCGTGTGAGCCGTGCAATTCCCCGCCGCTGCGGACCACCCTGGCGGCCGCCCTCGTCGTCACCATCCTGCTCTCCCTCCTCGGCCTCCTCGGCCTCTTCCCTCTCCTCCTCGTCCGTCTGATGCCCCTTGAAGTCCTCGTCGGCCCCATCCTCGCCCTGCCCTTCCTCCTCCTCCTCCTCTTCCTCCTCCTCCTCCTCCTCCTCCTGATCGGCCTGTTCCTACCCTCCGCCTGCTGCTGCTGACGGCGGTCGAACAATGTCTGTCGCCCTGCAATCCTTGTCCAGCCCCTCCCACCCGGCAAAAACCACGGTGGGAGGGGGGGCTCCTCAGGGAACCCTCCGCCTTCTCGTCCTCCTGGCCCTTTTCTTCGGCACGCCGTCGTGCCCACTCGTGCCCGGCAGCGCCGGAGAGCGCGGCCAGCAGCTTGCGGCAAGCTCCACAAAACGACCCCAGCGAAACACGGGCCCACGGGGCCAGACGGACCTGCATGTGGTCGAGCGCCCTGGAATGGAAACGACGAGGGTGACCCTTCTCGTCATCCTGCTGCGCAGCGCTACCGCGCGGCGATCTCAACCTCACCGCCGCGTTCTCCGGCGCGGAGAACCCGGCGGCTGTACCCCCGAGCGGCCGGGGGGCCACTCAAGCATGTCTCGTCGTCCTCCTCGTCCGCCCCCGTCTCCCTCGTCTCCATCGTCTCCCGCCCGCCGCACCGCCGCGCCGAGGCGGCACGAGCCCTCGTGCTGCGCGCCACTACCACAGGGGTGCGCGGAGAGGATGCGGAGTGCGCCTCGGACGAGACAGAGTGGCAACCTCGTCCCCGCCGATCCCCCTCTTCATCAAGGAGCGGCTGGAGGCCTCGAGAGCACAGGTGGCCGCTCGGGAGCAGGCCTCCGCCAAGGGTCGCGCCATGGGCCATGGGGGCAGGATGCTTGAACGTTGAAACTAGCGACTGCCAGCTGTTAGTTTGCTTACATTCTGCCCCCAAAATGCCCCCCCGACACAGAAACGACAAGACGGGGCCAACACCGTCTCCTAAAGCTGCGGGTGCGGCACCCGGACGCCAGGACTCGCCACTGCTCTCTCGGCCCGCTCGTGGTGTGCTGCGACATCCTCCCCCCCGACTTGGCCCCAACGTACGAAGCGAGGAAAGAACTGGGACAAACTCGGACTGGGACAGATCGGGGATTTCTGGCGGCTCTGGAGGATGTGTCAGGCGCGCGGCCGTTCCAGAGCGCCCTGGAACGCTCTAAAGGCGTTCCCCAACGCTCTGGAACGATGGATCCTGGTCCCAGCCCCGCCTGATTGGACGCACAAGCTGAAGCCCCTCTTGAGCGAAACTGGCCAGCGATAATGGCTGAGGTACGGTTCCGTACGCCAGATCGGGCAATGGCCATGTCCTGCTACAGGCCACGGGACGGGCAAACATGCGGAAGACGCCTCGCGAGAGAGCCGCAATGGCAAACCATAAATCCTTCGACCGAGCCCGTCGGTCGTGCTGCCGCTCGCCGGGCAATCGAGACATCGCATCGAATCGGAATGTGCGGCGAACCGGGCTGCACCTGCACGGAATCGGAATCGAATCGGATCGGCCGCGCTAGGATGCACGTCTAGCGCCGTGCAAGCATCAGGCCGCATCGCATCGTCAGAACATCGGAATCGAACCGGATCGACCCGGCCCAAAGCGACCTCGAATCGGACCGATCGGATCGGAGTGGCCCCTAGAGGGCGCCCCCGTGATGCTGCTAAACGCCACCGCGGCTAGCACCCAGCAGCTCCTCGATCTGGCTCTGGCGCCTCGCCTGCTGCCGCTGCCTGCGCTGCTCTTGCTCGCGGAGCGCCTGGGGCAGAGCTCGACCTAAACAATATGTTTTCGGGTTCGTTTTCCCTCGTTCTGTTTTCGTTCAACCTTCGCTGCAAAACCAAATCAAAGCGAAAACGGCTTAAGACATCGCAAACACACAGTTTAGGTCCAAGTCGAGCCCAGGCGTGAGTGCAAATTATAGGAAGCCCGCGCAGATGTTTTGCGTCGGCGCCCAGAAACCCAACCCTCTTAGAGGATTAAAAACAGCATACACGTAGTCCCACTAGCTCTCTGGGCGTAGGTGGTTTAACGGGTTTGTCTTTTCTCTTTCCACAAGCCCTCCTCCCCCTGCTCGGGGGAGGGGTCATTCATTTTACCCATAAAAAATACACCTCCTCCCCCAAGCGACCGCCGGCCAACCAGGAACCATGCTCCCCCCCTCACTATCCCCGACAAGAAACAATACAAAACGCACGCGCTACCAACCCGATGCGGGGCCCCCCACCATCCATGTCATAACATCAAATACACTTTGGGCCCAAGTCTGGAATCAAGTTCGTGAGGCCTGCGAGCATTTTGTATTGTTTTTGGCAGGGACGGCGGGAGTGTCAGAATATTGTCTGCTGCGCGCAGGGATATCATTCCTGACAAAAACACAATACAACATTCACCTCGCGGCAAAATCTGGATCATGCGCGGCCACTCCGGGATCATTGCCAAGTGGTTTTTGACAGGGACGGCGGAGGTGGTGGCGTGTGGCCTGCTGTGCGCAGGCCCACCAGACACAATGATGGGCATTGGCCTTCGACAAAAATGGTGGGGGCCGACGTGCTTCCTGATGTGTGCCGTCACGTGCACAGGCGGACCTGACACACTCTGCACGTGCCCCGAACGTGGCGCACCTGGCGCGGCTGGAGTATGCGGCACACCTGGCGCACGCGGAGGCACGTGGCGCCTCTGGCGCATCAGGCGTGCCCGGCACGCTCGGGCCCCTGGGGTGCGTGGCGCGCGTGGCGCGCCTGGCGCGCGTGGCACACCTCGACCTTGCGTCGCGCACGTGGGCTCGGTTCTGATTCCCAATAACTGTTTTTTCCAAAGACGACCGATGAACATGCTGATGCTCGGGTGATACTTATGTGTTGGGAGGGTGGGTGGGAATGAACTAGCCGGCTTGCTAGTTGGAAGATGTCTCGACCCCTCCACAATTATACAATATGAATACTAATTTCCTGTCTCCCCCGATGACGTCTGGAAGATATCCGGCCCCCTTCCGCGTTCTGTTTTCTACACGCAAGATTCACGGGAACTGGGTTTTCGCTTTGGTCTTTGTTTCAAAATGATGCTCTACCTGAGGCACTGGCCTTGTTTTCGGGCTTGTGCTCGTTCCGAATCGCGTTCCCGCTGCAACTCTGGCCTCATTTCCGCGTCTCCGCTCGTTCCGAATCGTGTTCCCGCTGCAGCGCTGGCCTCATTTCCATGCTTCCGCTCGTCCCGAATCGTGATCCCGCTGCAGCGCTGGCGTCATTATTTCCAATGCCATGCCAGTGCGTGGTCTTCGGTCCTGCCAAACAGGCACCGAAATCCAGAAAATGGCCTCCCGAAAAAAATATCGGATGTGATTCCACATTCGATGTCGATTCGTGGAACTTCTGGGCCGCGGTCCCCCCCCCCCACTTTGGGGCATCGCCAAGCCATCCTATGTCACGCTACGCGTTTATTTTCAACACCGTGCTATGTCATGTGATGTGATGCTATGCCATGCTGCGACACCCGATTGCGCGAATAGAAAGGCGATTTACGCCACGGTAAGGGGTGTGAGGGAAGGGTAGGACGTCAGATATGACGCGAGCGCACCCAGCTTGCCATACCCCCTCCCCTGGGCCTGGGAAGGGGGGGGCGCGAGGCAAGAGAGCGCCAACATGGCCCAAAATGGCCCCAAGAGGGCCTCAGAGAAGCCAAGATGGCCCCCATGATGGCTCAAAATGGCGCAAGATAGTCTCTCTCCCACATACATCGAAGACGCCCCCAAGATGGTTTCAAGTGCCCTCCGGGCCCTCCAAGCCCCCCCCCCGGAGGCCAAGATGGCTCCAACATCTAAAGAACATCTATCGTGTTTGCGTCCTCGCCTTTTTCCTTCTGATGGGCGTCCGAGGCCTCAAGACGGCCCGAAGACGGCCCAAGAAAGCCCCAGGAGGGCCCAGAGAAGGCCCCAATAGCAAACAAAAACACCCCAAGAGCGCTCCAAAAGGCCCCAACGTTTTGGGCCTCTTAGGGGCGGGGCATGAAATGAGGACCCCCCTCCTTTGAGTTCGGGAACAACGACGGCTCCAAGAGACTTCTCAGACCCGCCCAAATGGCCCCCAAAAAAGCCCCAAGGTCGCCCCAAATTAACCCCAAGAGGCCTCAAGAGGACCCCAAAAAAGTCCCAAGATGGCTCCAAGGGACCCACGATAACCTCTCACAACAACGCGTCAATTCGCGATGCAAGCTGTCTATGGATGGGCTGGCGGGGACACGTTTTGGCACGCAGGCGCACGATGCGACTCGGACGCCGGGCAAGCAGGGGCAGGCTATGCTACCTGCGAAGGAAACAACAAAGCTGCCAGCGACGCCAAGACGAGGCGGAACTCAGCGCGGCCAAAATGGCGCGAGAAAGCGGAGCGGCACAAGGAACCAGAGGCAGGTGCCGAGCAGGAAACCGAACAATCGAACCCAGAATCGACGGTGGATGGGCCCACGCAGCACCAGGATGGCCGTGACGAGAGGCCCACCCGTACTCCAGGCAGGCTTGTGGAACACGCAATCCTTGTAGGCGAAGGCGAGGCGGGCGCCGCGCTTGCCCAAGGAGGTGGAGGCGGCGAACCAGAGCGCCAAACTTGCCGTACAGGTAGGACTTGAGGGGAAGACCATGCCGAACAGGTGGGGCATGGGAGGAGGACCGGGATGCCGAAAGGTAAACGACCTCGAAGCCCCAAGTAGGCGGTGTCCAGCACCGCGTATGGAGGGCCAGAAAGGACAGCCGGAGAACGTCACCAAAGGCGCGAACCCCTTCGCGTAGATGCAGACAACCAAAGGCCGCGGGACAGAGAGCATGCGGTAACGGTCAAGCAGCGCGACCAGCCGCCAGGGTGCCCCGCGCGCCGACACCCAGAGGCAGTGGAATGACCGGCGCGACGAAGCCGCGCAACAGCGCAGAGCGCCACCCGGCGGGTAACCCGAACGTGGAACGGCGGGCGGCCAACGACGCGGCCGTCTGCCCGCGAAAACTTCGCCAGCGAGACCGTGGACGCCCTGACCGAAAGGTGACCCAGGCGGGGTCAGGAGCAAGTCGCATCCGAACTCAAACGACGCGAACCCTTGCGGCCATCACGGGGTAAAGGAACGGATGGGGGGCCCCGCGACCGCCGGAGCCCCGCGCGCGCCAGCCGTCAGCCAGATCCAGCAGTGGGTCCAGCAGGTCATACTAAGCCTGCCGGACGGCTCCCCAGGCCGAGACGTGGGAATGGCGGCTGATCGCCGCAAATGCGGAACACGAGGGGGACGACCAGTAGCATATCGCTGCAAATGCGTAGGGAAAGGGTGCATTGATAACCTCGGCAGAGGCATACCCCAGGCGATGCCCAGCCCATGCCACCGAGGGCAGGCACCGAGTAAGCCCATGCCACCGAAGGCAGCTGATCGCTGCAAATGCAGGAAGTGGATACCCCATGCATAGTGGGAAGCGCAGTGGGACGTGGCAGGGTGTGCAGTAGGGGGGGGGCCTACTGACGGTGCCTTTTGTTTGTGAAGGGCCCATTCCAGCCGTGGCTGCGCTTGCCCTGCTTGCCACTGCGTGCGTCAGAGGCGCCCTTGTCGCGTCCCCTGCCTGGTCGCCCGGCGCTGCCCCGGTCGTTCGTCTTGTGCTCCTGTCGTGCGTGCTCAAAGCTGGCGTTGAGCCTGAGATGGTGGCCGGGTGCGTGGGCATCGTAGCCGCTCTGTCGCCAAGCGCCCAGAATGTCATCGCAAGCGTCCTGGGGATTTTTCCGTCGCGGCCACAGGTGAAGGCGCCTGCAGCAGGTAAAGTCGGCTCGGGCTGCGAGCGAACCTGATTGCCGGCGCGCGCGCGGGGCTAAGCGTCCTGGGGGTGCTTTTCGATCGCGAACGCGAGCGCACCCGCGCGGCGTGTAAGGTCAAGCGAAGACGTCCTGAGGATATTTTTTTAGTCAGCGGCCGCGGGCGAGCGCGCTGGCGGCGAGTCAGGTCAAAGCGTGCCACGCAGAGACTAATTAGGCAGAGGAAACACGAGAAAATTAGAGCAGAAGCAACGCGCGAGGCGAGTCCTGGGGATACTTTTTTTTTTAAGCCGCAGGCGGAAGCGCCAGCGGCGGAAGGTCGCGAACGGGCCGCGGACGCGACTAAATTACCTAACGCGCGCAGGGCCGCGGATCAGGCGGCTCACGACAGCGTCCAGGGCGAAGCCGATGCAATCCAGGTGCCATGACAGCCCCTGAACGGGCATGCAGGTGCGTCCAACAGGCCTGAGGTAGGCACCGAGACGACCTAGCGCAGCCAAAATGGCGCGATAACGTTCCAACGTCCATGTGCGGACAGAGTCCTGGGGATACGCGAAGCGTCAAGAATTTCTGGACGGTCCGCTAATTTCTTGGATCGGCGCTGGACACCCCTCCCTGGCGCGCGGAGCGCGCCAGGGGCGTAGCCAGAGGCGTCACCACGGTGGCCCAAGTGCCGACGTTTCTGCTGACAAACCCTCAATGTTGTCAGCGAACGCGGTAGGGCGCGGCGTCGCGGAACTGCCACGCTGGATCGCGAGATGTTGCAGTTTTCCTTGGCCCTGAACTGCGACGTTATCTGAAACCTTCTGACAGAGCCTCAGGTGATGCGCTGCTGCGGAAGTTGGGTGAAAATACTGACCATGCCGAACATCGATCTCTGGAGCAAGGGCTGGTGGCCTGGTTCGATCGGGTCTTTCAGGACTGGCTGCCCAGTCGCCGGTTGCCGACAAAACCGTGTGATTCAAAAAGGCTGGAGGCAAGAGGA